ATGATTCCCAAAGGGTAGTCGATGACATGCAGCATGCCATGCGTGATTGCGCCGAAAGTCACACTTAGGTCGCAGGAAAGTCAGTGTGACCGCATTTTCGAGAAACTCGCATTTTTTCTAGTGCCCAAAAGCACATCTGCGCCGCAGAACTTTCTGCGAGCCCAGCTGCGTCAACTTTGAACTTCCCTAGTGTTCTTGGCCGCGGCACTGCCCCGACATAGAACTCAAGATTATAGATCCAAACTCCTTCAAACCGTGGAAATTCCTGACTTCGATACCCGGTGGTACGACCATGGCGCGCACAACACCGTTGGAACGCATTGCCGAAGTTTTCTCCTGCAAAAGCCTAAACCCCGCGCATACATGGTGCCCTTGTTCCCTGAACCTCCGCGCACCAGGCTTGTTGTGACATCTCATACCGAGGATATTCGTCACATCGTTCTCTTGGTTGGAGCCTAATTGAGTTCTGGAAGTACGTAGATGGCGTCCAAATCTGTGTCGATTGCAGCGATGGGGATGGGGAATGAGGGCGCTACTTCAGAACCACATATACTCGAGGTTATATATGTGCTATTCCCATACGATGTCCACGAGTTACTTCTTTGTTCAGTACCTCTCGAAAGATCTTGCCTTTCTCTGCGATATGAATACCTCACACTGCATAGTAGTAGGGAAAGTGCTATTAGATACCACCAAAGAAGATAACGAAAACTTATGAGATTCCTTCAATGAAGAGGAATATTGATTTGAATGTTAGAAAACTATGGCTGTAAAGCTCACTCTAAGTATGCAAAATCTGTGAGAGTCTGAGGGCAAAGATCTTAAGTTCGGACCGCGATAACTTGAAGGCGCGTCGCGGCGCGTCAATCACGTGGTTACCGTGTGATTGTCGCCGACTCGAACGGGTCGGACCGATGGTTCGGTCACCCTCGGTCACCGATCGCAACTACTTCAAGTTACTGTACCTGGCGGCAGCGTCACGATTGTCGATACCTTCAACTCTTTCCGATGTCTTCACCGTCCGAGTCCGACAAGAGCAGCGCAAAACCTAGCAAGAAATCTGCGCGCGTAGATTCCGCCCAGTCCACTAGCGACATCAACAGGCTACAGCGACCGCGAGAGAATGACATACGTCCTTCGCTATGGAAGCGCATTGTCGTTATACTCACCCTTACTGCTCTCTTTTTGCTCGCGCTGACAATACGTGCGCGACTGAATCGTCCCCCACGGGTGATCTACGCGTCGAGGTGAGTAGGTCTTGGGTACTGCCTTACAGAGCCATTTATTTGGACTAGGTACTCCAAAGAACATAAATATAGGCCGGCTGCAAGTCCTATAATTACCGAGACCTTGAAGGATGGGCGAATTCGTTTGAGGGGTGCGATGCCCACTGGGCTATGAATGTACGTCTATCGTGCTATAGATTCGCTTGAGCTGCTAACGGCTTTCTAAGATTCATTCTAATTGGGACGGACGGTTCGCATATCTCGTTACATTCTTTATGTCTCATTCTTTTTGTGCATCTTCTTCCCATGCGGAATGATTCCTTTGGTGCTCGAAGTCTAAAGTATCCATTTGCCATTTTACATTTACCCCCTGGCTCCACGTCCCACAACCTAGCGCTTAGGCTTTCTCAGTATCGATGCTGGCGATACTTGTCGGCCCCGATTGCATGTACTGCGTCCTTATCCTGAAATAACTATCGTCCTCGTTGTGCACTGGTACACCCATGCGAGATTGGAGACTGCCTTCCCGGAAAGGCAACCTTCTATTCGGAGACTGCTCCTCTTCCTTTCTCGTTGAGCCTTTTCCTCCATCGGCTGAAGATGCTCTGCTGTGCGACACAATCAAGATAGTCGTCAACAGTCGTCCTGAGAGTCTGACAATCTGAGGCAGTCTGTCTCTCGGACTACCTCTTCGTTTAGTTTCCGAGCTATACGCGTTTGTATATTGTTTCTTTGGATTCTTACGGCTCTCGTATCATCCAACATGCAAGCTTCCAGACCCATTGTCGACGAGAAAAATCCGTTCTACTGCCCGTCCCTTTCTGCCGCTACATTCCTCGAAAATGTCCGCCTGCAATTTTGCTGCGAGGATCCCCCTCCATATACTCGCACCGCAGCAGAGAGTCTCCCGTCTTTTCCTGAACGCCTCCATCAATCTCTCGACGAAACCGATATCTTCAAATTGCTCTGCGATGGTCCACCCATTTCTACTGAAGACGAAACTCCCGAATATTCTTCTGTACTGCATAGCGCATGTCTCGTCCCACAATGTGGAAGTACCCCAATTATCCACTCAAATCGAGTCGTGCAAAATCGCCTCGGGGCCAAGCGCAAACGCTCAATTTCTGCCGATACATTCAGCGAGCTCCTGGCTCCACCCAAGCGCGAGCGCTCGTCCCAGAGCGTGAACGATGCCTCTTTCGAGCTGAGTGCGAAGGCTGGGCGCATTCGATATTTCGGTGCCTCCAGCGACACATACGTCTCTCCGTTCAGTAACGAAACTTTATATCGTACACGCTCTTCGTACGGGGATATGACGAAAGCCAAAATGGGGAGGAGATTGCGCGCCTTGGAAGGTGCGTAATGATCTTGAGTATGCACGCTGATGTATGCGGATCCTATCGATGTCTGCAGGTACGTTGTTATAGGGATATATCGGTATATGCTTATCATGTTGGACAGATGAGCTGTATGGGTATCCAGTCGGCACTGAGACCCCCCGCGGAATCAAGTCGCTAGTTGCCCGCTTGGATGTGCTCTTACCCGGAATTAGGCTGAAAGAGCGACTGTATGCGCTAGACATAATCACGCACCAGCGAATAGCAGAAGTGCTTGCGGTAGACGGTACGTAACCTCCGTTAGGCCTTGCTTTGTATAACCTTTCATGCGATAGGCCATCTGAACGCACGGATTCTCGAGATGCTTCGCACGTCTGAAATTGCGTGTCTGGATTTGACCGCCTCGCTAATGGATGAAGAGGGTTTGAATATGGGGGCTCACGAGGTGCTGCAAGGTATGCCTGCCAGGACTAAGCACGCATCGTACAATCAGCTGACGGCTACTCAGTCTTCGAGAAACAAAACAGCTTTCAATTCCTTGCCGAACTCAATTTGGGAGATGCTGTGCTGGAAGATGTCGACATCGTCAGCTTGCACCGACTTCCACGACTTACTAGGCTATCTCTTAGTAACACTGGCATAGGGAACGAAGCGTTCGTCTTTGCAAAAATACCCGAGTGTCCACGGACTAATAGTCGCGCAGCGTTTTTATCCTTGTATCCCTGAAGCGCACATTGGCAGAACTTGATATTGCGTTCAACCCGCGGATTGACGATGATGCGATCCCAGCACTCCTCGCACTGCCCAAACTTTCCTTCCTCTCCTTATTCGAGACTGGCGTGCAGATTTCAGGTTTGCGGCGGTTTGCGATGACCCTTCGTACGAGAAAGAGGCAGACTCTAGTGGGGTTTGAAGCCCCACGCGAGTGTGAAGAGTATGTTGAAGGTGAGTCTCGTCCTGCAGGCGCTCAGAACAATCCCTTGGATTTCTCTGGTAGATCTGCATCGCAAACGCATGCTGTATCCGCGACCACCCTTGATCGTCAATCCGATTGAATGCTCGCGGCTCTCTCCAACAGCGCTGCGTCGAAACCTTGCCGAGCACGCTGTATTCGACGCCAGCGTAGTTGTGGGAGGCTCGGACGCTGAGATGGTGGAACGGCTGGAGCGTATTCTTACGATCCGCGAGATGGACCTGGCGGTTCGCGAGCTTATCTGGCACGGTCAGCAGAAGAATGGGATTGTTCAAGAATCCGAGGATGAATCTGAGGACCATTGCTCAAATGCATGACATGGCGCGTACAGCTTGAGAGTCCGCGCAGTTATGTGTAAAATCCTGTTCCCGCCGCTGTGTTGTGCGCTCTACTACCTGTATCGATAGCTTTCATTGTTTTTATGTAGAGATAAAGAAACCCACTGTCTTAAATGTTGTGTATTTTCAGGCCATCGAGGTTCTGCCGGTTTTCAGATGACTGGTGAAGGACGGGCCAGACCTGGTGAAAGACGTCGGCATCTGTCGGCATCCGACGGGCGCTAAGCATGCGAAACCGAAGCGTGGACTTTGAGTATGGGCACAAGTCTTTCCGTTATATCCTGGTTATACCATTCCCATCTAATCTGCAATGTCAACGGACCCCGAGGATCCAGCGCTACAGGAATCACTAGAAGAAGTCTGGTATCTGAAAGAAATCAATTTCCAACCGACCGCAGATTCTCCGTCCAGGACAGTGAAAATCGTTACCCAGAATTTCAATGGGTCAGTGGGATCACCGCAGTTGAGGTTCGGCGAGAAGTTTATGATCTTTCAGGCCGTGTTCGTTTATTGCAATATGTAGGCTTTACCCTCTCTCGTCCTCCAGTGCAGTGTGAACGCCACCCGGAAATCCAGGTAACATCCTAATTCTGCGCGGCCACATCGAGATTCAGCCTCCAGAGCGGACGACAGTGTCGTATGACTTTCTATCGCAACTCGTCGGCGAATATCTGTTGACCTCAAGTCCGGACGATGATACCTCGGCTGCGCTATCTGTCATGCCTGTCACCCGGAGTATGTGCGCCATTCGCATGTGGTTCATGAATGTGCCGCTTATGATTGTCTGCGACTGAAGAGGGTATGGATTTGAATCCGCTCTTCACCGGGCTCATGTCGTTTCGGCCAGGGGGTTCTGGCGGAGAACTCAAACTCTTTGAGCAAGCTGGAATACAACTCGTACATGGCTGGCTCGCAGATCCCGATACCCATGAATTCCAAGTTCTAGCGAAGACAGAGGATTATGACACGTCGGTGAACCTGATAGTCGAGGCGGACTTTCTTACAAAGGGGAAGTTGGTAGCCGGTAACAATGCGCCAGCTTCCCCCGGGGCGGATACCAGCGGAGTCTATGAGCTGTTGACAGACGAGGAGCGGCACAGAGTGCAAGATGGTAAGCATACACCGAATATCTCTTCGGCTCTCTGTCTTAGACTCCACAGCAATCATCATTCGCGACTTTCTTGACAGGACACAGTCACAGCTCACGTATCACGGCCTCTTTACCCTCGCATCTGTGGTCCAACCGGGCACACTCGTAGCGCTCTTTCGCAACTCCCATCTATCTGTACTTTACAAACCTACCAGCGAGTCAGACGGTGGCCTATACACACTTGTGACAGACCAGGTGTTTCTACACGAATCCTCCGTAGTCTGGGAACGCCTCGAGGACGTAGACGGCGGGATGTCATCATTCGTGGACTCGAACTTTGTGCGATCGAGCCCTGCAGGGGGGGACTATGCCGGACACACCGGCGAAAGTGCCCTTGCTGCGCTTGAAGCAGAGGCAGCTGCTTTGTCCCTGGGTGACAGTACCGAGTGAGTGGCTCATACCCTTCATGTGAGTAACCGGCAGCGTGATGATGTGTTTTACGTATACAGTCAAGAGCTTGCTAGACAGCTTCAAGCCGAGGAAGACGAACGTGCGCGTGAAATATATGCGCAGAGGGAGAGGGCACGGGAACGGGAATTGGCGTTACGTGCTCAGCGAGAAGAGGAAGCTAGGCGCGCACTGCACTCAGGACGTTCCGACCGGGACGAGTTGCGGAAGGCGAAGAAGAAGGGAGACTGCGTTATCATGTAGTCTGATATTCCCGGTCGCGCTCTGTATAGGATCTGTACTCTACCGTAACTGACCTGGTTTGTGGTTTTCAGAAATTCTTCTTTGCTGCATGATATCACAGGTTGTATTCGTCTAGTTGTTCCGAACAGCTCAAATTCGGATGGAATCTACATTTTTTCTCTCAACATTGACATGTTTACTTCACGCTGTCGGAATGGTGCAGATGCTCTATCACAGAAACTGGCCTTGCATCTTCACAGGCTCGATACTCATGTCATTGAGGAGACCTTCTATTATGGCACTTCTCAGGTCCTCGATTCGCGCTTTCACGTCTCTGTCAAGAAGCAAGGAGATCGGCCAACGCCGGGGCATTCACATTCGACTAATGGGAAGCTTTGCTCGTGACAGCACTGGCATATGAATACTCAGCGCTCAGCATGACATGCCTCCGTGCATGAACGGAAGATGCGTTGTGTGGCTTTACGTGTATCCAACATGCCTTCATCCCGCGAGTTCTAGGAAGTCAGCACTGGGTGTCTGAGCATGGTCTCTCGACTACTTCGTTAGATTGGTGTGTACCAGTCTTGTCAAGATCGCTCTGGGATTGATATCTGTCACCTTGGGCTCTAGACAGGCTGAGGGTGTCATATCGGAGGTAATTGCTTTCCCATGTTCTGCGTGGGTGATGATCTTCATTATGACTCGGTCTCCGTGAAGTGCGGCGCGGCTGTCGAGCATTGCAGTTCGCCGAATCTTGCTTCGAATGTTCGCATAGCGAATCTGCATGGTCATGAGACGCAAGTAAAAGTACAGGGTATTCTGAAGAGAACTAATTCAGCCGTCACATCCTCTTCCTCAATGACACGATGGTCCGAACTCCCGAGTCTTGAGTAATTCAAGCTGCGGAATTTCCTACGAGCGCGTTCGGGTTGAAAGCCTTGGTTGTTCCGGACTGTATGGCCCATTGGATTCCGGACATGACATGTGCCAGGAACAGTTCATTCTGAGACAAGTAAATCAGCAAATGAGTATGGAATCATTCCTTTCACTTACCTGCCATGTCTCTATGCAGTGTCCAAGGCTGGTGTAGAAGCTGCGTCCAGCAACGTTCCCAGGCTGTACACCTGCTCCCCGTTCCTGGAACCACGCTGGAGAGCGGAGTCATGATACGATAAGAGTGATGAATAAGCCCGGCCTACCAACTGGATGAGGAGTTCCGTGGTCATACTTTCGCTCTCCGGGATCTATCCAGGAGTATCATCGCAAGAGATGGATAAACGGGAAAATGGCAAACCGCACCTGAGTAAGTCGATTCGTCTACGGCGAGTACTACCGTAGCACCGACATCTCGAGGATCTGACATGAAGTTATAGCTTATCGACATCGTTTCTCAGCTTCATCCACACGTAGGGTAAGACATAACGGCGCACACTTCATCATAGAGCTCCCATCGCGAAGGCAGCATGCTTGTGCTTGGGTGAGGCGGACCAACAACATCGAACACCTCCAAAGCGGCAGGAGATCAGCTCATTTGTCTCTCAGCTTTGGTGGATAACATACAGCAGTGCAAATATCGGGATGGTAGTCAAAGAGAGCGCCTAGTGGCGAGTTGAGTACTGATCGCCGTAGATCCAAATGATAACGGCATCTCACCTACTTCCTTCTTGTAGAATTCGTCCTCGTATAGGCATGCTGAGGCGCAATGCACTCCGATATAGTTTCCTCCCGAATTCAAGAACTTCTGGAATGCAGCTTTGCCGTCCGCTTCCAAGACTTGGGGACGTCATTTTCATCGCAAAATGATAACAATGACACAATATATATGGCCTACCTTCGCCGGAGTTCTGCAAAAATAAGACAGCATCGTATCCGTTCAGTCGATCGTCGGTGAACCAGGTATGATCTTCTGTAGCATCAAAATGGACGTTGATTGATGATGCTTGGGCTTTCAGTGCCTCGATGGACGCGGGGATAGAGTCATGACGATAGCCGCGAGTGGCGGAATAAATCAAAATACGTGCGGTTGCTTGCTGCGCCATGATGGCTGAAGAATTAGAAACGACAAGATGGAGACAAAGGAAGAGCGTGGGATGGAGAGCGTAACTTCATCACGAGTTCAGCCTTGTTCATATTCGGGCTGATTTCCCTCGGCAGTTGAACTCATGGGAGAGTGGGCATCCGTACCTTTGAAGAACATGCATGATATGGGACTTTTCCACCGGGCTCCGTTGGCCATACTCACAGGCTTAGCTGTCTTTGTAGAAAGCTATGAACCAAATGCAAGTCTTCTGTATAGACCTCATTAGCTGTGTGTAAACATGAGTTGCTCTGTAGCCCTGCATCCTTTTCTTTACTTATCTGAGATTTGCACTGCGCGTAATGACCTCCCCCGTCTACAGACTATCACTACAAAGACATCATCTTTCCGACGCCATCAAAAAGCACGCGAAAGGCATTGGAATTGTGTGATAAGACTTTAGATAACACAATTATAGCTGAAAGTTGCCTTTTTGCCTTTCCAAAGCTGCGAAAGGCGCATTCATCAAGCCTTCCACTAGGTCATAAAGCAAGTCTTCTTGAGTCTCGAAAAGGGGTCCATCTCCTCCTAATGGAAAGAATGAGTTCTTTGCTGTGTATCGGACTCTGGAGGGCGGACATTGTCACGCTAGCACGTGATGATCAGGCTCTGAGTATTATAATTGAGGCCAGCCACAGGTTTTCAAGGTTCCGTGTCCTTACGTTTCGGTGAATGAATCCGCTTTGGACTTGCTGCAATCGCCTACTTCCTGAAGTTTCTGGTCTATAGTCTTCCAAAGGCTCATCATCTCAACTTATGCATTATTCTATGAGAAGCCGACTGGGAGATGGGAGACTGAAAGCTTTCTGATTGATCCTTATCCACGGTCGCTGTGTGCGATAAAGTGATCGCGTATGGGTGGCGGAATGTCCCACGGGAGGATACTGCAGTGCGTGTTTGAATTGACGTATCAGTGTCAACATACCATAATATCTTCTGGATGGCAGGAAGAATGTTGGCATCATGATGTTCTGCATCCTGGCGCCTGATGCCGGACAGCATCTCTTGTTTTTCAAGGTGCGCGGTTAACCTTTGCTGCATTCGCGGGTGACTGGAAATTGTCTGGGTTTTTGCTTACAATGCGAACTAAAGACTATGCTGACTCTCGGTCCAAACCTATGTTTCAGAGCTTGTTGTAGCAGTCCTTGGCGCGCTTCTAGCATCGACATGACAAGACAGGCGCGTTCTCATGAAGTTGATTCCCCGGAGCATGAGGCCGGATATAAGCGTCAAAGGGTGGCGATGCCCTTGGAGTCATGGGACGTTGTGCCAGCGTAGCTCACGGAATCGAGGCAAGGCAATCTCTCTCCTTCCATCTCATTCCTCGCATCTAACTCCTTGATAATGGACAGAGAGGTTCATATAACGCCATTGACTGTTCAAGCGTCTTTCTAATGACTTGATTATGGTAGGTTGGTGTACCATTAGCAGCTCCGCTGGCTCTTGATATTTTAATTGTGGGTGGAGGTACGTGTGCAAAGTTATGCTGTGTTGCTCTCACTAAGGATTATGGTACAGGTATATCTGGACTCGCTAGTGCTATCGCTCTCTCTCGTGCGGGCCACAAAATTCTCGTCCTGGAACAAGGTGATGGAGAAAATAACGTAGAGTGATATGTATTTGCTATCCAACCACACACCCTGACGTTGTGGTAGAGAAGAGAAGGTGGACTCCGTATCCCACCAAACATGTCTAAGATACTCTTTCACTGGGGTTTCCAATACCAACTGCAAGAAATCGGTGTGATTTCTCATGCAGTCTCCCTATCAAAATGTAAGTTCTATTCCAGCTGAATTTACTAGACACTAAATTCTTTACAGTTGAAACTGGAGAACCCCTTGGGGTTCAGCTGTGTGACCCCGAAGTGATGAAGGAGACACGAGGAGAATTTGTAATGACGACGGTTTGTACCGGCATTTCGTGTTAAAGCTCACACTGAGGATTTATTGCTGCACAGCATAAGGAACTTCATCAAATGTTCACCGAGATCGCTACAAGTCTCGGCGTCAAAATTCGTTATAATGCACGGGTAGCCATGGTTTATCCTGCTCAACGTCAAGTGACGCTTCATTCGGGCGAGACGCTGTCAGGAGACATGATCTTGGGTGCGGATGGTGAGATGGGGATGTGTCGATCGATTGTGACAGGATGTGAAGACGAGAGCAGACAATCGATAGGATTGACATTGTTCAGGTGAGTCTTCATTGAGTGTAGGTGTTGTCATCGTATTTTCATTTGGGCGACTTAGTGTGATGTTAGATACGACTGGAAGAGATGTCCCCAGCGAGATTCTGGATATCATAAACCATAAAGAGGTGAGTGAAAAACACAAAGTCATCTTCTGTCTGTCTCAAAAATTCTGCTTGTCTTAGAATCCGCTCTACTTCGCATACGGTGATGGGCGAACCGCTTGCGGATACCCTGTGGTAAGCATTACCTACACGTATTATGAACCAATTCTTATGTCTAAGACACGGCCGTAGCGAAATCATACATGTCTTGTCTTTCATTTTTTCTTGCCGGAGCAAGTGAGCTGCGACGAATCGCCCCTCGTCCAGTTGAGACGCCTATTACCGAAGCAGTGTGATCCAAGGTGAGTCGATTTGGTCGATACTCCTTGAGAAGCCTGACACCTTTTGAGACTCCGAATGATAGCGGATTTAGCACTCAGCGCCACGTGCATACCTATGAAAGATGCCCCGTCCGTGGGGGATTGGGTGCACGATAGTGGACCACTAGCTCTAGTTGGCCAGGCCGCACATCCTTTTATTGTGAGCTCCTGAATCTTTTGAGACACCGAGTAGTCCTTAGTTCCGGTTCACAGCCCGGAACTCTCCAAGAAATAGCTCTTGGAGTAGAGGATGGAGCTGTCTTGGGTAGATTGTTCTCTCATGTCAGCAATCGAGAGCAAATTGGCGGGTTCCTGTGGGCCTTCCAGGAACTTCGGCAGCAACGATGCATGGCGGCGTTGGAACTGGCTTCCTCGACACTATGGTATATGGCCTTGAAGAATGGTCCAGAACAGCAGGCCCGGGATAGGGCTTTTATTGCGCAGTATAAGCTTGGCGAAAGCCCTTTCAAGGCGGGACCTTATGGGGGCGATGATATATACTGGTTAGGGACCGTAGCAGAATTTGCTTACGACTGTGAGGAAGAAGCAGACAGCTGGTGGATGCGGTGGGGTGTTTTATGGGAACGTGCGCACGAAACCGGCCAGGGCCGCCTTGCACAATCACAGGATGGCACCTTTGATTTGTCATCGATGGGAGTCTCTGTCGTCGAGACTGTTGTGGATAGCTAGCTGCTTTGCTGGGGGTCTGGGGTGCGTGGACTGCTGGACAAGTAGTCCGCGTGATATTTATTTGAATACGTGAGGCGCACACCTAGACTAGTTGCTTGTAAATCTTATGTATCGTTCGCCACTGTATGTTTTATCGAATGCAAAAGCTGCTCCTGCCTAATGTCTCTCACTTTTCCTCCGAGGCTGGGAATCTAACTTGAGCTGGCTTGCAACGTACTTCAGTCATCTTTCCAATGATTCTGTATCATCGAATCTATAGGCGCCTTAGTACTACATTTCAGGTCGATCCACCACGCAACATGTCATTCAAGAAATGCTCTATTTGATGAGTTCCATTTCCAAATAGATCTTGCACTGCAGGAATTATTCACTTGCGTTCATAGTCGTTGTCTCACGTTAAATGATATTAGGCTTTCTCGCGATATCATAAAGGTTTAGATTAAATGAATCCATCGCACAAGCTCTAAAAACGGTGCATCCCAATTCGGATATAGCTTACACAAGCCAAACTATGATGTGCAGCTAGTGATCCCCAGAAAAACCACAAAATAGCCCGAGCCTCATTGACATCGGATCGAATCGACGCACTTCAGTCGTAGAACACCCTATGTACGAGGTTAGTGTTTGAGCCTGTCATGGATGGGCAGACTTACTCTACGATCCAGTCATTCTCATAAACTTCGGGAGAGACACAGTAGCCGCCAGCTGTGTACGAATCTGGATAGTCACTGAAGCATTCGTCTGCCACTAGGAATCCATTAGCTCCCTAAGGACGCCATTAACATGCTTGCGCCAGTTCCGAGAACTATGAGCACATACAACGTCGAAGACGCAAACTTCATACTCGATAGTATCGAGGTTGGCATATGCATACTCGCAAACGCCGCCAATAGTGATAGTCGTTAAGCTCTGTGCAGCTGCAAGGAAGTATTCGTCTGAAGACCAGAAGTACGCAATTAACTGAGTATCCACGCTTCAAAATGAGGTCTATGTTTATGCTGACCATATAGATCTTCCAGTGAATCCGTCAGCGTGAGGCACTGGTCCCAAAGCGGCTGTCCGGTGGCGACGTTAGCGCATTCAACGGTACCTGTATAGCGAAATTTAGTGAAGACATTTCCCCATGTCAGACGAAGCCTTGCAGTTTGTATTGCAGGTCACAAATTGCCGCTTCTCATTCTGCATCGCAGTGGAACGCGTAGTGGCGTTCTTGCTCAGAGCTGCAAACCCTGGGCAAGTACGAGTGATAATTTGAACCTCCTTGTCGTTGCGGACGATGGTGTTTGTGCTGACCACTTCGCCGTCGGTTCCGCAAGCCTCTCTGACACTGGTGGTTGCAGCTGTGACGATTATAATGACAATCAACAACAAGATCTCGCAAACGTTGGTCGCACGGGTTGTATAACATACCGACGGCGGAAAGCAAGACAACGCTCGCAAAGATGATCGAGGACAGCCAGGTAAGCTGCATTGGAGTTTATGAGATTGCGAGGGTGACTGACTGGTGAGTTTTGAGTGCCGGTACATGATGACCTTTATATCTGTAAACATACTTCCCCTTTACACCTCACTGTTGTCGTACAACAAGGTGCTTACATCCGGGTCACATCTCAACAATCAGAGCAAGCACCGCGATCATATTGGCATGTTCACGGCATGTCCATCATATGTCGATGATTCAATGTCTCTTCTGTCAGGACTTCCGGGGAAAGATTCTGACGCTAGTGCTCATTGTTCATACGGAAACATCTGCACTCGTATACTCGCATGGGTCCGCATCCTGACTTTCACGCAAAGAGCGTGCGATATCCTTTGACTCCTCGAAACCACGGCTTTGACGGCCTGAAAGTTTGAAAGTTTAAAGGCGAGTCAATCGTTTTCTCACCTGATCGGTCGATCTTTATTTATGAATATTCTCGGTATATCGGAACTCGGCAGTCCCTCAGCGGAAGACCAAATTGTGGTGATTGGGCGGCAGGCGCATAGGCACATTGATTTGTGATTCAAAGCCAGCCTCAGGGACGACGTCGGGCTATGGATCAACTCAGATCGTCACTTGACCACAATCACAAGTAAAAGGCGTGAGGCGAAGTATGAGGAGTGATGGGACGACATCCGACGCTCCGTGTCCTGTCGCGTTTCTCGGAGGTGATCTACTCAAGGGCCTTCTTCACCATAATAGGCACGCTTGGCTAAGACACTCGGACAACTCCCACGCAATATCAGGAATGGGATGCCGACTGAAAAGGTTCTGCGAATCGTTGGGCTCACGGGCCAGGATATGTCGCAGATATGGCAATAAAATCTCCAACGACTAAATAAAGACATCTGTCACCGAAACTACTATGGGAGGTTGACTGACAGCGTGCCGATGTGCCTGCTCGACTTGCTAGGTGTGTGAATACATTGCACATAGCAGTTATACAGGATTCTAACGCGAATACAATCATCGGGATGCTGAAATAATCCGTAAATCGCCTTGACTAAAGGTTGGAAGGCTACTAGCGCAAAATAATGGGAAAATTCCTGGTGCTGTGTCTGGACGTACTTCTGACATGCTTGGTGAGGACTTCAGTTAGTAACAATTTCCGATCGCCGATACGCGCCATCGAAACTACACGGGGGTCGACTCCCCAAGCAAGCAAGTCCACTGCGCATACTCCAATAATAAATTCCAGATTACACATATACAAACATCATCACACAGAACAATCATGTTAAACGTGGAACCAGCACCCGGAAAATTCGCCAAAGAACCCATGTGAAACCTATTAGATCAGTGTTGACATCGACTGGTATCAACATTCTTCAACCATAGTACACCCTATGTAGAGGATGAGTGTTTTGAGCATCTCATGGATGACTCATGATCTTTGCAGACTTACTCCAAGATCCAGTCGTTCTCGTAAACTTCAGGAGAAACACAATACCCGCCAGCCGTGTACGAGTACGGATAGTCACTGAAGCACTCGTCTGCCACCCTGAAGCCATTATACCCCTGTGAAATCCATGAGCATGCTTGCGCCAATACCGAGGACCAAGCACATACAACGTCGTAATAGCAAACTTCATATTCAATAACATCGAGGTTGGCATACGCATACTCGCAAACGCCGTCGTCGTTGAAGGTTGTCAACGTTTGTGCCGGCGCGAGGAAGTATTCACCTGAGAAGCAAAGTATGTAGTCATTGATCATCGTGTGTCCACGCTTCAATGGGATATCTTCTTACCATCCAGGTCTTCCAGTGCGTCAGTAAGCGTGACGCAGTAATCGTAAAGCGGCTGATCGGCGATGTCGGCGCATTCAACAGTGCCTGTGTCATGCAGACTTGTGAGGACAATTCGTCTCCACGTCAAGCGAATTCTTACAGTCTGTATTGCAGGTCAAAAGTTGCCGCTTCTCGTTCGGCACCGCGGTACGACCAGCAATGGAGCGCGTGGTGGTGTTCTTGCTCAAAGCCGCAAACCCTGGGCAAGTACGAGTAGTAACCTGGAATTCCTTGTTGTTGTGGACGATGGTGTTTGTGCTAACTACTTCGCCGTCGGTTCCGCAAGCCTCTTTGACACTGGTGGTTGCAGCTGTGACGATGGTAACAGCGATCAGCAACAATACCCCCTGGCATTGATTGCATGCTTGCATGACATACCGACGACGGAGAGCAAGGAGAAGCTCGCGAAGACGGCTGAGGACAACCAGGTAAGCTGCATTGTAGTCGATGGGATTTCGAGAGCGGTTGACTGGTGAGGTATGAGTTCTTTCTAGTGCATGGGGGTTTTTATACCTGGAGGAATTCTTGTGAACATATTATTTTTCGACGTCAGGCCACTTGGCGCTTACAGCAACAACATCTGACTTGATCACCTTTCAAATTTCGATGCTCAGAAAATGCGTCGCGGCCATGCCAAGGTACTCCAGGTGTGGCCACCTATGCATGCTTCTACTTCCTGTCAAGACTACATGGGGAAAGAATCTGATCTTAACGCTCATCGTTCATCCAGAGACGTCCATGGAGCTCGTATACTCGGATAGATTCGCGCCCTTGTGGTTTCGCGCGAAGAATGTTCTAAATATCTTCTTCTGCGTTATGGTTCTAATGGACTCTATGCACTACTACAGTGAGGGGATCGTCCTCTAGGTGATCGGTGCACCTGATTTATGGCCGAAATATCATGATACAAGGATTCCATAGTATCGGTACGTCAAAACCCTCTACCTATGAACGGATTTTTTGATCGCGGTTTATACGCACGTTGGGTTCGGATTCAAGGCTGTACCTAGATACAAGGCTAGTCTCTCTAGACATCATCCGCCTGACCAGAATATTGACTAAAGGCTGGGATGTTCATAGAAATGGTGGAACAATCGCCGGTGCTCCGTGTCCAGCCGCATTCCCTCTGAGTTGCGTCCATCAAGCCTTCCGTACCGTGTTTAGCACTCCTTGGCGATAACTTGATTGACATCTCGTATTATAAAGCTGACAGATGTAATGCGATGTGGAGTTCTCCCGGAGCGCACATAGGACACGGATCGAGAGGATTCTGTATCAGGTTCGCAGGCCTTGACATGCCCTCGATAAAGCAAGGATTTCGTGTGGCCGAAACAGGAAATTTCATGAAATATCTTTGACCACGCCATTGTCGCTATTTAGACGGTTTCTGCTTGTGTCATATGTACCACGGTGCGTTAATTCGGTTTGTGGATCGAATTACTGCATATTTTGGAATATATTCGGCGTTCCGAGCCGAATGTTGCCTCAATGAGGATGACAGTTTGACATACAGTAATAATTTGGTGAGTGAAGATTATCTACGTAAGGTTTGGTAGAGGCTGCCGGGATTTGGAAACTGCCGATCAGCAGCAACCAGCGTCGCGAGATTGCAAAAAGGCCCATGGAACCGATGCGTTACATTTGCATTGCAGACTACATATA